AACCCGATGGTCACTCTGACAGAGCTCCAGAGTTCCTCTGTGGATATGGGAGAACCTTCCAGAAGGACAACCATCTCTGCAGCACTCCACCAATCAGGCTTTTATGGTAGAGTGGCCAGACAGAAGCCACTCCTCAGTAAAAGGCACATGACAGCCTGCTTGGAGTTTGCCAAAAGGCACCTAAAGGACTAACAGACCATGCGAAACAAGATTCTCTGGTCTGATGAAACCAAGATTGAACTCTTTAGCCTGAATGCCAAGTGTCACATCTGGAGGAAACCTGGCACCATCCCTATGGTGAAGCATGGTGGTGGCAGCATCATGCTGTGGGGGTGCTTCAACAATGTAAAGACTCTGAATACTTATGTAAATGTAATATTTCAGTAAAAAAGTTTGGACACACCTACTCATTCAAGGGTTTTTCTTTATTTTTATTATTTTCTACATTGTAGAATAATAGTGAAGACATCAAAACTATGAAATAACACATATGGAATCATGTAGTAAACCAAAAAGTGTTAAACAAATCAAAGTGTATTTTATATTTGAGAATCTTCAAATAGCCACCCTTTGCCTTGATGACAGCTTTGCACACTCTTGGCATTCTCTCAACCAGCTTCACCTAGAATGCTTTTCCAACAGTCTTGAAGGAGTTCCCACATATGCTGAGCACTTGTTGTCTGCTTTTCCTTCACTCTGCGGTTCGGCTCATTCCAAACCATCTCAATTGGGTTGAGGTTCGGGGGATTGTGGAGGCCAGGTCATCTGATGCAGCACTCCATCACTCTCCTTCTTGGTAAAATAGCCCTTACACAGCCTGGAGGTGATTTGGGTCATTGTCCTGTTGAAAAACAAATGATAGTCCCACTAAGCCCAAACCAGATGGGATGGCGTATCACTGTAGAATGCTGTGGTAGACATGCTGGTTAAGTGTGTCTTGAATTCTAAATAAATCACAGACAGTGTCACCAGCAAAGCACCCCCACACCATAACACCTCCTCCTCCATGCTTTACGGTGGGAAATACACATGCGGAGATCATCCGTTCACCCACACCACATCTCACAAAGACACAGCAGTTGGAACCAAAAATCTCAAATTTGGACTCCAGACCAAAGGACAAATTTCCACTGGTCTAATGTCCATTGCTCGTGTTCCTTGGCCCAAGCAGGTCTCTTCTTATTATTGGTGTCCTTTAATAGTGGTTTCTTTGCAGCAATTCGACCATGAAGACCTGATTCACACAGTCCCCTCTGAACAGTTGATGTTGCGATGTGTCTGTTACAGAATGCCAAGAGTGTGCAAAGCTGTCATCAAGGCAAAGAGTGGCTATTTGAAGAATCTCAAATATAAAATATATTTTGATTTGTTTAGCACTTTTTTGGTTACTACATGATTCCATATGTGTTATTTCATAGTTTTCGATGTCATCACTATTATTCTACAATGTAGAAAAATAGTAAAAATAAATAAAAAACCCTGGAATGAGTAGGTGTGTCCAAACTTTTGACTGGTACTGTGTGGTCCTCTGTAGCTCAATGTGGTCCTCTGGAGCTCAATGTGGTCCTCTGTAGCTCAATGTGGTCCTCTGGAGCTCAATGTGGTCCTCTGAAGCTCAATGTGGTCCTCTGGAGCTCAATGTGGTCCTCTGTAGCTCAATGTGGTCCTCTGTAGCTCAATGTGGTCCTCTGTAGCTCAATGTGGTCCTCTGTAGCTCAATGTGGTCCTCTGGAGCTCAATGTGGTCCTCTGTAGCTCAATGTGGTCCTCTGTAGCTCAATGTGGTCCTCTGTAGCTCAATGTGGTCCTCTGGAGCTCAATGTGGTCCTCTGGAGCTCAATGTGGTCCTCTGGAGCTCAATGTGGTCCTCTGGAGCTCAATTGGTAGAGCACGGCGCTTGTATCGCCAGGGTAGTGGGTTCGATCCCCGGGACCACCCATACGTAAGCAAAAGCGTCTGCTAAATGGCATATTATTATAAACTGTATTCTGTATAGACTATATACTGTATGTATTATATTCTGTATAGACTCTTTTCGGTTTAGACTATATACTGTTTAGACTGACTATATGCTGTATAGACTATATACTGTATAGACTACAGCCTAGAAGATACCGAATTTACTGTTGGTATTGAAGTTTTCATGTCTCCAAATATTATAAAACCCTAGTTTAGATCAAACCGGATTCTCATGGCGCATCTTTCTTCATTATGCATTTGTGTGTAAATCCGCGTGAACGGGATGCTGGTAGCAATTTAAAACATTTTCCACCTCATGTGCACGGTGGTTTCTTGAATGTTGAGGCGTATTGTGCCACGCAATGCACACTGCACTCGAGATGAGATGAGACAAATGACGTATCCACTAACCATCCGTGGGGATTATTAGCACAAAATCTGTCGTGCTGTTTGGTGGTGCAACCGCAGCACCCCACCATCCCACCACGCGCCGTTCTAGAATGACGCCAGGATAAATCACGTATTTATTTATTCATTGCCACATGGCACTTTGATAAGGTCGGTGTTATCTCCTGCCTCCATCGAAGGCGTCTGCTCATTTCCATAAATTGTTTCTCAGTCCTCGACATAATTACGTGTCCAGATGTCCATAAGTGTGCCACAAATTATCCCCGAACGAAACAAACTCCACCTTAATTGAATAATAGCTGATTAGAAAGGATTAGTTATGTAAAAAAAAAAAAGGGGATATTTTCCACTCTTACCTAGCAAATCAAATGGGGTTTTAATTATCGTTAGATATCTGCTCAATTTAAAATCACAAAACGGTCACAAAACAGGTTCTCGTGAGGGGGAGGTGAATGGAATGAAGCTGGACATATCTTTGACTTGGTCCTAAAATCTGTAACCTTTTAAGGCGTCTTTGTTTGACCATGCTGTCAAGGTCATCAGCATCACTTTCGAAATCGGATTTGTGTTTTCAGATCCTTGTCAACGTCCAACATCCTTCTTTTTCATACATACAATATATATCCCTATAAAAAATAATAATGTATAGCAATGTGGTGAAACGTTATCAACATCCCTCACTAAGAAAAACAACAGGTTCGTTTAATAATGTCCTTTATTCTTTGTGGTAATTTTAGGGCATTATGTAAAGGCTGGGTTTTTAAGTCGTTCGTGATGCCACCCTGTTGTGTGTGTGTCCTAAATACTCTCAACTGGGACATTGTACTCTTAATCATGTGACCTGTCATTTAAAAAAACGTAATATCAACAGATGCGCAGAATGAAGCTTTCTGAACACCAAAGACAAAACATTGAGTATGCAAAACTAATTAGAATATGCAAATCTCTTGCGCAGCCCACTGATTAGACGTTAGGGATTCATGTTTATGAGCGCCTAATTAGTTATTCTGTATACTGGTAATAAACTGTTTGAATTGGGACCTGACATTTTAGCTCTAGTGATATTTTTCGAATTAAGGCAAGAACTTTAGTTTAAATTATTATTATTTTTTAATTGATAGGCTAAGTCAGTGGTAGGCCAATTAATTAATTAATACAAATTAAAGAATATGCATTTTTATCATATTTTTATTCTGATTAAGGTCAAATAGCCTATATAAGATCCAGTCAAAAAGTAGGCCTACAAATCGAGACACAACAACAACAAAAAACACACAAAAACAAAAAAATATAGTTTTTTGTTCGATGATGATCATCACTGTAATTATGACAGACATAACGAAATGTAGCCTAACAAATTATTAAAGGTTATATTGCTGAATAATAACAATAATAATAATAATAATAATAACAACAATAATAATAATAATAACATGTAGGTTTATGTTTTTTCTTTTTTATTCTTGATGAGTTTTTTCCTTACTCGGTTGTATTGCATTTATAACATATACAATACAACCATAGATTAGTCTGTTGGTCCTTATCCAGTTTCATATTCAATATTGTGTTTTACATTGTGTCATATTTCGTTCTATAGCCTATTACTGACACGGAGATTATGTGATATTCAGAGCTAGTCGGGCACAGACCAAACTCCGTCCAAATTAAGCAGCTTTGCCTCGAGTTGAGGGCTTTATCCGGCTGATTGGATACTTTACGACCCAATGGCTGCGGGATTACGGCCCTGAAATCATCCAGACAGAGATAGGGAGATGGAGAACCCGGGCTACAGTCAAAGTAATACCCCGACCAAGTTTTTATTGATCGATTTTTACTCTACGCTGGTAATTTCATTAAAGGTTTTACACAATCCGTCAAAAACACTCTCCCTTGTTGCGGCCATTTACTGTGTGAGTTGAGGGTTCAATTGAGCGGTTATGATTGGGCAGCGAGAGTCATATAGGGAATTATCTTTGATAGGCTCTTTGAGATTAAATTGTATTCATGTAAATTCATCCCTGAGAGAAAATCAACCCTTAAATAATTATATGGGAATTAAGTAGCCTACAATTTAAATACATCCTTAGATAGTCTATATCGCAGCATAAAAAAAAAGTCATGGTTTGACTTATTCATTTATGTGGTTCATAATTGGCTTCTTGATAGCCTATAGTTTAAAATGAACTCATCACCTCAAGTATTATCTCATGAAAAAGCACGATTCCCTGCTACCTTATCGAATGAACAGATGCACAATCCCTCACTTCGTTAAACTCAGACAGTAAATATAACAGTGTTGAAGGATTTATCGATATTCGACGATTGCTTGATCAGAAGAAACCTCTTGATAACCTAAAAAAAAATCGAATAAGCATGTATGGCGTAGGCAAGGGCAACGTGCATTATTTTGTTTATTTATTTATTTAATTTGTGAACCAGGAGTCCTGCATCCTGATTCACGTCACCAATTCTGGACCGTTTGCAGTAACAGAGGCCTTGTCTTAACAAATCTAAAAAAAAGTCTTAAAATGTATTTTCATTGAATCGATCTGCCATCGCGAAATAATCGTTTGACCCCTCTGTCGTCTTGTTGAATGTGGCGTTGAGTTCTCTCTGCGGTAATTGGCTGAGAGAAATGACCCCCCTGGCGCGAGGAACCTGTTGGATAAAAAGGGAACGTTGTGGCGGGAGAAAAAGCAAGGAGCGCGAGCACACTGGGTGATTGCACAAGGGACTGGCGTGCGCAGGGCGGGAACACCAATCAGGGAGTACCATCAGAGAGAACAGTCTGACATCATGACAGGGAAAGAAGGGACCGTTCTTTCAGACTCTTTGAATAAACAGAAAATGGCTTCGCCCCTAAAACTAGTGGGACTCCAGCACCAACCGTCAAAAATGGGTTCGATTACGACACATAGGTGCACGGGATTCGGAATCCAGGAGATTCTAGGTTTGAACAAGGAGCCGCCCGCGTTCCCGCGGCGTCCGTTGGAATCTCTGCCGCACAGGGCGCACCTTCTGACGGCTAGGTCGGCTTTGGGCCCCGCGGCAGTCGGGGTTGGAATGGGAATTATTGGTCCAGGAGGGCTTCATTCGTTTTACAGCCAGCCTGCCTTTCTGGAGGTGTTACAGGAGGCGCAGAGTGTTCACCTTCAGCCGCTCGCCAGGGGACAGCTGGATGCGCACCACCCCGCAAGCTGTTCTGGTAAATGTCTAAACTATAGGCTAGCATAGGCCTATACATTCTAAAAGTATATATTTTAAATATAAGCAATTCATTTAAAATGTATTTCTTTATTAAAATGTGTATCTTTATGTTGTAAAACAAACAGGCTAATTTTTAATGGTGAGTGAGTGTTGCGCCTTTTGCTTCTCAATAATGATTTTATTTTTTAGTTACAACTCGACACGTTGGTTGAGCGCCCTCCATTTCTTTCCAATGTTTATGTTGTAGACCATTTTTGTCTTCAATAAATAGAAAATAGAACATGTAATTTTGGTTTTAATGATCGCAAATTCTCCTCTCCTGTTTTTTAAATATATTGCCACACTGTAGGTGTAGGATAACCGTTTATAAGTATTACATTGTAATTGTATTAGCAATATACCTGTGGCTATTTATTTAATAATACACTAGGGCTGTTTATTTACAGATTCAGATGACGTATCCTCCAGTGAAAAAACATTTTCTAAATCATCGATGAGCCAGAACAAGAAAAGAAAGAAGAGACGACACAGGTAAAACTATTGACTATAACAGATATTCACAGGTAAAACTATTGACTATAACAAATATTTACAGGTAAAACTATTGACTATAACAAATATTTACAGGTAAAACTATTGACTATAACAGATATTCACAGGTAAAACTATTGACAATAACAGATATTCACAGGTAAAACTATTGACTATAACAAATATTTACAGGTAAAACTATTGACTATAACAAATATTTACAGGTAAAACTATTGCCTATAACAGATATTCACAGGTAAAACTATTGACTATAACAGGTCCCGTGTAGCTCAGTTGGTAGTGCATGGCGCTTGCAACGCCAGGGTTGTGGGTTCGATTCCCACGGGGGGGCCAGTATGAAAGGAAAACAATTTATGGACTCACTAACTGTAAGTCGCTCTGGATAAGAGTGTCTGC